ATAGCGAAGCCCCTCACGAACCTGCTGAAGAAAGAGGAACAGCTGATCTGGACGCCGGAATGCGAAGCGGCGTTTCAGGCATTGAAGGAGGCTCTGACATCTGCTCCTGTGTTGGCGCGCCCCGACCCGAAAAGACCGTTTGCGCTATACACAGACTGGCAGCCTCAGGCGATATCGGCGGTGCTAACTCAGCACGACAAGGACGGAAGGGAGCACGTCGTTGAGCATGCGTCCAAGACGTTGAGCCAAGCGCAGGCTAATTATGAAGCATGCAAAGGCGAATGTCTGGCGGTGGTGTGGGGGATTCAGCACTTCCGACCGTATCTGTACGGCCAGAAATTCGTGCTGGTAACGGATCATCAGCCGCTGCTGTCCCTACGCGACAACACGGACTACACGGGGACGCTGGGCAGGTGGGCGATGCATCTGCAAGACCATGACTTCGACATCCGCCACCGTGCCACGCGGCAGCATGGTAACGCCGATGGATTAACGCGCCTTCTGCCGCCTAACAAGTGTCCCACCAACGAGCGACTCATTCCGTGGAGGCCAGAAGTCGCGGAGTCGAAACCGCACTACGGGGAGCTACACGTGCTGCGAAAGGACGACTCCTGAGTTCGGAATGGAGGTTTCATCGGAGATGGCCGACGCTATCTCTCTGCCCTCATCCAACTCTCTCGCTCTCTCGTCTAGCCCCAACTCGTCCTCTGAAATACACCTAAGTCCCTGTTTCTTCTGTACCTTGCCTATGATCCCGGACCAAGAAGGGTCACATCCGGGAGGGCCCAATTTTTTTAATGGGTACAATGTAGTCAGTGTCATACGGTCAAATTTCACGGACAGTGCGTTAGGTACCAAAGTGAAAAGACGTGGGTCTGTCCCAACTGTAGAACGGAACAAGTCCCTACCGAGAAGCGGTATCTGGACGCTACTACAGCCGACGGAGTTGCGCCAAGTGCCCGCCGGGCAGAAGCCTGGACGGACCTTCTGTTGCAAAAACGGAAGGTCGATGACGACGGAGCGGGCGCAGGACTATCGCTGGCAGGGCCCGACGTTACAAAAATGGAAGGTCGATGACGACAGAGAGTCTAGCTGGTTGACGGTTCCACACCCTCTTGCTAGGTTCGATTGGACACGAGCCGCTCATGAGGAGGATGCGGTCCATTTCGCGGTCAAGTACACCGAAAAAGCCATCGAAAAGAATGGATGGTATTGGTCGGGAATTCGGGAAGATGTGAAATACATCGTTCAGAATTCCCCAGCCTGCGCGATGGACAAGGCGCCGGTACAGATGCCTCGGACGATGGTGCCCACTCGTGTAGTGCGCCCCTTTCAGAGGGTTAGCATCGATACGACGGATATCAATGTCCTGAGAGGGCCCGTTGATCAGGGAGAACTCAATGTTTTTTTAGTGGCCGTCGATCATTTTTCAAAATGGATCGAGGCGTACCCTATAACCAGTCGGAATTCGGAGGAAGTAGCCTGGTACGTAAATCGATTTTTGTGCATGCATCTAGACGTAGAAGAGGTACACATGGACAATGGGTCGGAATTTCAAGGCAAAGTAGAACGTCACCTAGTCAGGGCGGACGTTAAGATTATCTACTCGCCGGGGCATTGGCCTCAAGCCAACGGCCTGGTGGAGAATGCCAACCGACTGATTAAGACGGCCCTTAGACGGAATATCACTGCGGGAGACACCCGACCCTGGCCGGTCATTGTCGATCACATTTTGGCCGTTTATCGGGCTACGCCACACGGTAGTACTAGGGTGCCCCCCTTTCAACTGAGAACCAATAGTGTCCCTCGGGTGCAATTGTCCCCCTTAGTGGGTACGGAAGTTAGAGCAACACGGGCCTAGAATCGAGACAAGGCCCGCCACTACATGGACTTAATGGCTAGGGTCTATCCCCCGTTAGCTCGCCGTCGACAGCAGGCCGTAGATCGGACACATCAACGGCAGATCCGTGACTACGAGAATCGACACTCGTCGACGGGACCACTGCCCCGCTATAAAGTTGGGGACTTGGTGTAGGTACGGAAATCTGTGCGTTCCTCCAAGATCCACCCGCGCTACACAGGCATTTACGAGGTCACGGAAGTTGGCGCGCAGGGACAGCACTCCGTGAAGCTGACTCCCCATCACAACTCCCAGGCCCGACCGCTGACACGGCACGCGGCCGCGCTCCGGCCTTTCCAGCCATCGCTAGGTCCCCTGCGGACCCCCGCTCCTGCGAGATCACCCTCCCTTTCTTCATCCTCCTCCTCCTCCTCTTCCTGATCTGCCTCGTCCATTGGTGCTGAGAGTTTCAGGGAGCAGGATGAACCATCACCAGCCGGAGCATGAGCCCCTCGAGCATTTCCAGACGCCGCTTGCAGATCGCCTGTTGCGGCATCGGTTCAATGAGGAGAGGCAGTTGCGGTACGACATTCAGCAGGTGAGCGTGCCGGCGCCCGGGGTTGCGGATTTGGCGGCGTACTCGTTGCTTTGCGATCGGCTGACGTATGCGGGGGTGTACGAGGACGTGACACAGTTGCCTGACCGGGAGACGACCCGAGTATTCATTGAGTTTCGCGCGCTCCAGATGGCACCCAATTTCATGCACAGCGTCGCCACCTTCATTGGAGACTTGGCGATCCTACCGCATCCGAATCGGGAGCCGGCGTGCAGCTTTGTGCGCGAATACGCGGTGGAAGCGGCCAGATTGCAAGGACGGGGGGGGCACCGATTCACAGCCCACGAAGTGCTGCTGCGTAGGGCAGAGGACGGACCGATTGCGTTGGTGCCGCAGCTCCCCGCACTTCTCCCTCCCGCTGCTCCTCTCAACTTCCAAGTTATTCCCCCTGTCCCATACTAAATGCCTCCCTTCTTCTCCTACACCTCCCTCCCCTACCAGCTCACGGAGGGCCCTTATCCCGTGCGCGAGCTCTCGGAGTATTTGGTGGAGCTAACTGACGTGGAGCCGCTGCCCTTCGCCGACGAAGACGCGTGGGAGTTGCACCGAGCGCTGTACAAGTCGGTGGCGCTGGGGATGTTCCGGTTCTTCGTGGATCACGAAGACCACGCTATCGGGGAGCACTTCGTCTTTTACTACGTCCACACGCGGCCCAAGCCAGCGGAGAAGGAAGGGACGGTGGCGCTGTACCCCTTCGCCCAGCTCCAGTCAATCGATCCGGGATTGTTGGAGCTCATACATCTTGAGCTCCTCTCCATTGCGCAAGTGATCGCGAGCGAGGAGGAGGAGATCCAACCACGATTGCGGACGGCGACGGCCCCGTGGAGAACGTACAACGCGGTCGTCATCCCGGATTACATTGCGCAGCGCAAGGAGAGATTGGAGGACTTCCCGGAGGAAAGGCCGTTGCGTCCTCCCTCGTCGTATCCTCGACCAGCGCCACCGAAGGCCCCCAAGAAGACGCCGAAGAGGAAGAGACGCCACCCGTCGCCAAGAGCGCAAGGCAGCAGGATCGGCGGCGGCGAGGAGGTGATTCAGCCTGCGCGTACGCGGATTCCTGACCCTGTGCCTGGGAGTGCGGCGACGCGCGTTAAGGAGACTATCGTGCCATCGCCGCCCATTCCGCGTGTGCCCGATCTCAATCTTTATGGAGCCGGGCCATCATCATCATCAGCAGCTGGAGGAGGAAGCCGAATGGGATTTCCGGATCCCATATCCAGACCCCCCGTCCTCGCGGGACCTCTCCGTTCCCGCCAGCCACCCCGGGGTGCCCCGGTCATTGACATTAGTAGTTCATCCAAGCCGGACGGTCCATCCGACCAAGGTGGACTTCATGGTGGAGCCCGCCACCATCAGGCTCAAGGCCATCGCGGGCGCGTCGCGCCCTGATCCGGCGTAGGAGCCATATCTGACACCCCCTTTCCAAGGGTGTATTGCAGCGCGATTGGCTGGCACGCTCATCTACGAGACCGGGCAGCGTCCCAATGCGATGTACCACTTCCTGGTCTTCGCGGCGCCGAAGCGGGAGCGGCGGCCTTACACCGAGACTCATGTGGTGATGACGGGTCCAGGGCCCCGATCGGTGCGCAAGCGGGTGGTGCGAGCGGTAGCGGATMTGGCGCCACGTGTCCTCTCACATGTGCCGGGGGCTTTCCTTTACCCCTCATTCGTCTAGCATCACTTCCATGAGGAAAATGCGCCGACGATTCTTGCGGCAATGGCCGCTTTTCTTCCACCTATTCCGCCCCCTCTCAATCCCGACATAGATCACTTCCTCTGATCACCCTCGTCTACCTCTCCCCTGTCCTCTCCTTCTCCTTCTCTTCTTTTTCTTCTTCTTTTTCGGATCTAAAGCTCACGCGACGATACACGCTATATATATAAAATATATATATATATATATATATATATATATATATATATATATATATATATATATATATATTTTTTTTACTTACCGATCGGGCCAGCTGACGATGAAGGGGCTGCCCGATCGAATGTATACTATGGGAGGAGGCGATGGAGGATGCAGGATGCATCCACGTAGATTAGGGAGATGATCGGGCCACTTGACGATGAAGAGGCCGCCCGATCATCCATGATATGATGACATCAACAGTCGGGAGACTGCTAATTTTTCGGAATCCCCTGCGTATCACAGATGTGATAAGCTTAGATCCGTACCGCGCGGCTTGCCGTATCCCTGAGGAAAAATCCTGCGGAAGCCCCGAAGTACGGACGCGGATAAAAAGGGGTTTTTCTTTCTTTTTGCTTTTGTTTTCTTTTTGAAACGGCTTTTTCATTTTGTTTGGTTAATAACTCCCGCGGGCGAATAGCGGCCGCGGTATGAAAACCAAGAAACGGGTGCGGTTGGGACTTTTTGAATTTTTGCGCGCGCGCCCAAGCTCCGATTTCTTCGCACGTCTTGCATCCCCGTTTCTTGCTTTGCATCCTCACGCCATCTTCCCTTCTTGCTGTGCGCATTTTCCCCATGCAGGACTCTTCGTCTTCCCCTACGCCCAACTTGATCCTTACCCCGTCTTCCTCCGCGAAGTGATTGGCTGCATAGTTAGGATGCTCGGATCAATGTGGAAAGCGGGAAACCGCGCACCACATGGATGATCACCCCAATCACGTAGCCATGCAATCCCGCGGGTCGAACCCTCTAACTCCCCACCTCTCTCTCCTGTCCTGCTCATCTACACCCTGCGCTGCCCGCACCTCGCGCTGTTAACCCGMCGCCTCCSGCGCTATAMATTTGCGCAACCCTCTCCTCTCCTTCTCTTTTTKATCTCSGCTGCAATGCTGCGCGAGCTATGCRCGAGAGTCCRCGRCGTCGAACAGGCTCGACGAGCCCAAGGACRGGCGGAGTGACGACGTGGGGTGGACCCYGCGGTAGTCTCGGGGCGAAGCAGTCGGAGGGACTGAGCAGTGGTGGGGATWGGACGCCGGCCGCGGCAGGGCCTTGTGGCTATGGTGGTMGRTGGTCTTGGGAAGTTTTGAAGGYTGCGCMTGGGGGCAGCGGTTAATTGAAATTTTTGTGTACAASAAGGACTCGCTTTTATCTCCATTGCTGCTTTGTCTATGCATGTCGTGTGTGTGGAGCCCCGAGWGATGGGAGCTGGTTATGYGCATGAGTGATGTCGAAGGTCCATGGATGATTAGATGTCCTGTCAAGRGTTGTTGATTGCATGCATGTATGTGTGTATGTACTCGTCCGGGCGGGGATGGGGAAACTGAACTGGGGGACCGTCTGCTTGGGAGTATGAGTGTGTTGATCCGGTTGTTCCCCTCCCCTCCGCGGCCTTTCTTGCGCTCYCGCGCGGTCTCRGCGTAACCCACTCTCTCTCTCTCTCTCCCTCTCTCCCTATCTCGATCGCTTTCCCTTCGAACMGAYAGTCATCGYTYTTAGAGYTTCTCRTCCCCGTACCGGTGACGTCAACCRCCTGCGTCCGCGCGGACGGTCGACGCCCCCGCCAAGGGGAGAAAGCTTAGATTTTGTCATCTTCCCCCTGCGCACCCACTTTTGAGAGAGAAAAGTTGCGACGATTGTTGTATGGATTCGGTGTTGGTTYGGATGACCGGGAAYGCGRRATCTTGCCCGTGTTCATMACGTACCTCCGATCGTCTCATTTYGCTACCGACCTTCCCCATCACACATGACGACAGCGTCTACTGCGATGCGGAYGTACGGCGCGCGYTGAGGCGGACGGAGSAAGTGTGTTGGCAAGACCCGCCTCGGGCTTGTGAGATAAGGGAGAACGGGTTTGTGTTGATTGATCGTTTTGATTCCCCGACTCTAATATTGYCTTATACRGGTTTAACSGTGTTGCCCTGGTCGGCCGCTCACGCCGCGTGGCGGCCGCAGTTTGATTGTCGCTGGTGTCGCCAAGGGGACTCGTGTTCTTGGCGACGGCTGGTCCTGGGTTATGAGGGAGCGACACGTTTACCTGAGCTTTCCCGTAGTACGGGGGCGCTGCCCGCGCAATTTCGAATTCAGATGTCGGTGAGTCCTCCTGCCGCTTTGCCCTCCCGGAAACTTTCGCGCGGACTCTGTGAGTCCGACGCCGAGGCCTGAAGGCCTCGAACCAACCACCTCCACARCAAAGAMCCAARGGTTTGGCCACTTTGTGAGGCCGATGAGGAGGYCTGAAGGCTTCGAACCCACCACCTATCCCCCACACCCCTGACGGTCGAAGCTTTGTCTTCCGCCGCCAYGGCCCTCTCCYCTTRACGCCTTTTTYTRTCCCGATGCATGACGGCAGTTCATATTTGYGRAAACCTTTTTGATTCTATCGTTTCGGAGTGATCCGACCCCCATGGGACTCCGTGGCGACAGTTCGACTCCGGGGAAAACCTCTGGCACGAAACGAGGGCCTCGCGTTCCGTCCGGGAGACTCAACCCTTATGGCCAAAAATCCTCGGCCACRCCCCTCCTAGAACTCTGATCGGYGGCCCCGTACGGGAAGCCRCGAGGGGGCGTGAGGTTGCGTATGACAAGTACTCCATCCTGCACAGACGAGCAGTCWGAGAGGGACACTTGTACTCCAAGGAAACGATCYGCTGAGTTAGGCGGGATTTGTTTCAATCCCCAATCCACACACAAGTTATGAGATGGGGGAAGGAAATACACAGACTTGTCCCAATTAATCGATGCCTTTGATAAAGTGCAGTARTTATCTATGACTGATTTAAGGGCCCCAAGGGATACCACTGAGTTTTCGCAGGCTACCGTAAGATCGTCCGCTAAGGCACCGCCCTTYCACTGTAGGGAGKGGGAGAGTYGCAGACCTCTRATTTSATTATTATACCTGATGTTGATCTGAAGAACTTCTAATTGGATTACAAACAGGAGAGGGGCTAGACGRCACCCCTGTCTCAAAGAGCGGGTGAGATGAAAACTATCWGAYAATCTGCCGTTAATAATTACAACCGAGGAAGATTCAAAGAAACAAGCTTCTACCCATTTACGAAACCCATCCCCAACCCCCATCTTCCTCAAAGTGGTAAACACGAAGCTCCATCCTACTTTATCGTAGGCTTTTTCCATATCAAGCATGAGAACCTCTACCTCCCTATTCTCCTTGCCTATGATGTCTAAGGCCTGTATCGTTGCTATTATATTGTCGCAGATGGATCTTCCCTTAAYGAAAGCKCCCTGTTCCCATCCTACCAGGTCCGGTAAGAGTTTTGCTAGTCTAAGCGCAAGGGTTTTAGCAAACAGCTTGTAAGTAACATTAAGAACAAAGATAGGTCTCCAATTCCATATTTCCCTCTTGTCCCCCTTCTTGTACAGGAGGGAGATCATACCCTTGGTAAAGTTTTTGGGGGGTATGTCGGAGGTGAGGGGCCTGTCGTAAATCTCACAAAGAAATGGGGCGAACGCAGATCATGAGGCTAAGAGGAGCTCGATTGGGATTCCATCCAGGCCAGGGCATTTGCCCTTGGCCATTTCGCGTGCTGCAGCGAGAAGCTCAAATTTTGTGACAGGTAAGTCTAGCTCCGCCTTGGCAGCGGGGGGGATAGAGGCTAATGGGAGATCCCAGAATTCAGAAAATTCAGATAGGGCACCGCCAGACAGGTCGAAAGGTCTTCTAGTGGTGACTATGTCCCTAAAATACTCTAGGGCATAAGCGCACATTCTCTCTGTGTCCTCCGCTAGTGGGGCGTCAAGCGCAAAAGGGTGGGACAACACACGCATCAGCGGTCTTGCCTGTYTGARGATGAGAGATCTGAAAGAGAGCTTAGTCATTTTATCATATCCGATTATGCCCTTCAGTCGCAACCATTCTAGCCATTCCCCTTGTTTGCGGACTTAAAGGGCTTCTAATTTGGCTAAGGCCACCTTCCGTCTCTCGGACCAGTAAAAATCTGTGAACGGGTCCATGCCCATCTGGTTTTCTGCGTCCCTGATCTCCTTAATTAGTAGTTGTTCTTCCCATTTCCTGTTGGCTGCCTTCATTCTGGAAAATTCCATCAGGGCTGATCTAACAATCCCGATGCCTGTGTCCGCCCAATCATTTACATCGCGGAATAGATCCTAGGCTTGCGACCATTTCTCTAAGTGGGAAGTCACCCATCGAGCAATGCCCTCATCCTGAAGTAGATTGACATTTAGTCCGAAAGGTGGTTTATGTTGTTCGATGGTTTCTTTAGAGAGGATGTCCAAGACCACTGGTAGGTGATCTGATAGGGAGGCTATCATGTTGTCGCAGGCCATACAGCGATCCCACGGAGTGCCCCTGATTAGGAAGAAGTCAAGCCTCTTCCTAGGAACGGGGGTGTGATTCGGTGGACGTGGCCCGTACCACGTGAAGCCCCCGTATTCGGGGTTGAGGGTGCGGAATGCGTCTACCAGCGATTGAGAGTCGACAAACTCTGAGAGGAGAAATGTGTCCTGTCTGATCCGCGATACTTTCAGCGAGTCTAAACCTGGGTTAAACACCGTGTTCCAGTC